AATGGCACTTTTGGTATTGATTGGCCAAAATGAAGGTACCCAATGTGGTTCTGTTTCCAGTTTCCTAATTACTTCCTTAAGTTCTTCCAGTGATCGATCAAGATCAACGTTCACTATTATTCGGTCGAACAAATGACCATAATGCTAAAAAATGAAAGTTACGCAGTATTCAGGCTTAGAAAAATTTCTCATCAAACGAAGATAGAAAACAATCAATTATCGATCAAAATTTCATCTAGTTAATCATGTCCAGGAATAAATATCTCTTAATGTCCTATTATTAATGCTTCACACATCGCTTATAACTTCATTATTACAAAAGTCGATGATGCTAACCTTTTCAGTGATTTTACCCTCACTTAGGATTGATTTTAACTGTTCATCCTTGATTCCGTGTTGTCCAAGAATTTCCTTCTGACGACGAAGCTGTTGCAGTGATGGTGGTGCAATGAATACCACATAAGGCATGAACGTTGTCCTTCGTAATGCCTTCAGATTCTGAAGCAAATAAAATAGAACGATTTTGAATTTCTTTATTATTTCCTATCTCAATTATAAATCGATTTGCTGTATCTTTTTTCCTTCTCTTTTTTTGGTATGTGAAGAATACCAAGCCAAATTTTAATGATCTTATTCTAGAAGAATATTTGTGAAGTAAAAAATATGAGCTTAAGCTTATTAACGTGAAAGCTTCTGAGTCAATTTCGCTTTACTGTTGTGAATTTGCATAAAGAAAAGTGGGGCCAAGAAGTACAAGAAAGGAGAAGTGGTGACTGATTTGTTATTTCTGATCTTATAAAGATGAAATTAGAAAAAAGAATTTGAGATGGACTAAGCTTTCTTATTCTATTCATTGAACAAATAAAATGAACAATAGCAAAAATAATAACTACCTCGGCTTTAAGTGTCAGTAAACATATTTTGGCTCGGTCAATGACAGCCTGAATTGAGGCCAATGAAGTGCCATAGAGATACTTCTCGAACTCACCATATTCAATGAATTTACCCGCTTTTGCATCCTCTTGAAAATTATGTTTTGCTACAAAGTGATAATGTACACCGTCTATCTCACCAGATTTCTTCGGACGTGTTGTATCTACAAGTTAATTTGAGTATTTTAATATTGGCGAGTTATCTCTTCATCAGGTATAATCGAACAATCTGTCTGCTGATATCACGCTTCTTCGATTCTTTGAAATAATCCATTTAATTAAGAACACCTTTTTTTGATTCCCTGAGAACTTAATAATGTTTTCCTCAACATATGATCTCGTCTAGGAACAATGAAAAAGATTAACTTGCTGGATCAAATTTTATTTTTAAATTTACGAGGTATAGCGCTGGCAAATTTATCTTTATCAAATTCAGCCAAACGTTGTCTCAACTCCAAACAACCAACTCCCTCTGGGCCACAAAGAACAAGCGGCCTTTTTCGTCCCGTTTTTGATAAATATAGTGTAACTTCTTCGTATGTTAGGATTTCTGAAAANTCTTTATCAAATTCAGCCAAACGTTGTCTCAACTCCAAACAACCAACTCCCTCTGGGCCACAAAGAACAAGCGGCCTTTTTCGTCCCGTTTTTGATAAATATAGTGTAACTTCTTCGTATGTTAGGATTTCTGAAAAGAAAACAGTCAAATTTTATCATATTTTTTCTGTGATCCTTAGAAGTAATAATATTATCACCTGAATCATTTCCTCCATTTAACTCATCCATCGATTTCAATTCTTCTACTTCTTTCTTCCATTTTCCTTTCATTAAATTTTTCCTCTTTGTACAACCGAAGAAATCTTTACGTTTACCATTTTCCAATTGTTTTTTTCTTTCAAATTCATGTGTATACAAAGCGATTCTTCAAATAATTTGCTATTTTTGTCAAATTATCATTTTTAGAAATAGAATCGATCGAAAATTTAAATTTAAAGAAATGCCTTAAAATTAAAATCATTTAAAGAACATTAGATATGTGCTAATGGTATACACTATTATAATTATAATGATTATGGTAAAGTTAGTTGAATCAATACCATTAAAGCAGCAATAAGTATATTATGTGTTGTGATTGCATAATTTTTATCAGTAAATGAATATAGATGCTTACTGTCGTTGGAATGATATGGAAGGTATTAAGCCAGCAAGCGAACTATTCATTTCACAGCCTTCATGATATGCTTGCCACCAATTTTCATCACTCATACTAATCACATGAAGAATATCACCACGTTGAAATTTCAACGCAAGTTCTTTACATGGAACATAAATATCATCCTGAAAGTTACAATGGAAACTAATGGTATGTTAGTTAGTGCAATAATGGATTAATGAGATAATACAGTGATGGATTCTTACCTCAGGGTCGTAATCGAAAAGTGCTCGAAAATGCTTAACTTGTGCTGATGATGCCATTTGAGAATTATCATTCTGTTTATCTAATGGTGCTATCACAAGCGATAATTCACCCGACGTCGATCTCTGAAATTCCATTGACGTTAGATTTCAACAGATCTTTACCAAATCTATTTTTCCAATAAACTTTTGAATAAATTTTAGAAGCAAATGGCCAGTTAAGACTATTAACAAATATTATGAAATAATAACAAATAATCGTGATATTAACAAATAATAGTGATGCTAATATGAAACTCTTACAATCAGAAACCTACCAAAATATCGCAAACTTCAGTGACATTCTTGCCGCGTAGATCATTTCCATTGACTTCAATAAGTTCATCTCCTTCGCTCAATAAATTTGATTTCTCAGCCATACCACCATGTACTACACGCCCAATAATCACTTTTTCACCTTCATTTCGAATTGTTGCACCCTGCAAGAAAACATATCTATCATTAGAACTTTGGAACGATTTTTTTTGAAATTTTTATAGATTTTCTAAAACTTTTTACAAATGTAATATTTCATAAGGATATAATTGCTAATAAAACAGTCAGTGATTGATAAATGAAAGATCGGTGCCTCTGTTGAACAATTCAGGAGAATTATTATAAGGCATAGTGTGGTAACAGGTTCATCCAAAAACAACACGAATGTATACGACGAAGTGATTATCAAATCAGGTCAACATAAATTAAGTTTGGATTAAATTCTCATTAGCGAATGTAAATTATAATAAAGGTTTTATTTGAAAATTATCTCAATCTGATTTTCCAGTGAAAAAAAGTTGTGGTGCAAGAGAGAAAATAACGAAACACTGACGAGATATGTATCATTGCATTTATTGACTTTAACAATCTTCAAATCACCCTGGATTCGTGTTGATGGAAGCGTTTTAGAATCGTTGTAATCGGTGGTAATAGATAATAAATCTGCAGATGTGGTGGGATTTGGTTCCGTAGCCTGAAAAACGAGAAGTTTGCGTCGCATTCATCGAAGACATTGGCGAACAAACTGACTGATTAGTTCGTTTAATTAGTCAATGAAAATAGTTTTGCAGAAACAGAAACTGAAACTTTTGTTTTACAGCGATATGTACGGTTGAATTGAATTGGAATTACTATAATCGTTTTTAGTCATTGATCTTAAAAATAAATGTCCTATAAATGCATATCTCGCTTCTTCCTTATCACATGTAAAAAAAACGATATCCAAGTGATATCAATCACAAAGTCATTCAAAAATATTCCGTCTAATTAAATGTAAAATTTAACGTGTAGGAGGTAATGTGTGTACTTGTATACAAAGCATCTGTAAATTTATCCATAATTTTTTGACATAAAATTTAGAACTTAATAAAATGAAAGCCGGATGATAGGATGAAAGTCTCATAACAAATATCCATGGATATTCATAGGAATCATTCATAAGAAGAACGTACTTGATAATAAATAACAAAAGCGAATCACAAAGTATAAGATCACGGAATTAATCGTTACTTCTATGTTGGATGATGCTGCAAAATTATACCTTGTTCTTCTTATAAATGATAGTACCGCTTTCGACAGCTTCTTGTACAGACTTCTTCATGAAGAAATCATGCAACAACTTCGATTCTTCGTCATGTCCTTCTCGTTTCTCTAAGTGTTCCATCACGCGATTCATCGATATCATCGTTTGCTCCATCGCTAAAAATTATAATGACTTTTTTGTACAAGCATGATGGCTTGAATTATTTCACATAACTGATGCTTTCTCTCGATTCAAAAAAATTTAATAGCTAATTAAAACAAATCAAAATTTTTGCACTTACGAATTGATTCAGTTTCATCTATACCAGTATTATCACAAAATGTATCGCCAGCTACGTAAGCGCTATTTGCATAACCTGTCCCAACTATGCTGCCATTGGAGAGAGTACCATTTTTATACTCCTTTCTGCTTTTGTGATTTTCAAGAGACATTAATTTTCTGGAACCTCGTAATGATTCCCTGAAGAGAAATGATTGATCACAGGATGCACAAGCACTTTCTGCCCCTCTCCCGCATTTGAGAGGCCTATTCTCAAATCGTCATGAATTCCACTTCTTTATTAAAGATCATTCTATGGATAATTTTATTATTATTATTATTATTTATTATTATTATTAT